TCAGCAGGAGCTAGGTCAGTACAGAGGGAGGAAAGTGTGTCTCAGAGGCATCATGCCTTCTTTGGTGTCTCCTGGGATAGCACGGCTACAAATTGGCCCATATACACTTTTAACCCTAATTGCTTTTACTTGTCACCATCCCTGCTGCCTAGCAGGATGCCCATGCTGTAAATGACAGAGTAGTCCCGTGAGATTCAATTCAGTTTGATGGGAGACGGTCCAGTGCTCACATCTTTCCTTCTTCTTTTACAACATAATATTTGTAGTGCTATTTGTCCAAAGATGCAGGATCAATTTATATGCATATTAGCCTTTTAACATACTAGAACAAATGAGATACTAATTAAATAAAATGAACTGTTGCTATTTTAGCCTATGGTAGGGAACAATTGTCTTTGCAAATACATCCTGAAGATATTACTTTGTCTTTTGTTTAGCTTGAACACAGCAGGTAGCCAGGAACTAAACTATTATTTTGTACACATACTGTATTTTACTGGCATTTGACTTTATTAATTCTGCACCATTTTCCCCTTCCTCTCATTGTAATTAGTTATTAATTATGTCATTATCAGCTTTACATGCAGCAGGAGTTGAGGTTGATCAGAACTGGCATCTCATCCCAGCTGGTACCTTCTTGGGCTCCTGTGTTCGGTGTGCTGATTTTCCTTGGCCTCACTTGGGACTGATCCTTTCTAGTGCTGAGGGCTATCCTGAAAGATGCTGAGTGTATTCAGTGTTTAGTAGATTCGGCAGAGAAGAACAGTGGGCAACAGCTCTCAGGGTGGGCTCAGTCCCTGCCTCACTCTGCTTGGGAAGGCTGAGAAAATTGCTTCCCTCCAGGGCCTCAGTGAACTCAGCTGTAAAGGGAGTATAACAGCAATTAGCAGCTCCTGCACAGGAGTGAAATCAGTTAATTAACGTCCGCGAAGTATTCAGGGAGCTGTAGGTAGAAGTCGCCATGCGTTTGGGAAAGCGGTGCAAGCGATGCGAGGAGGAGAGGCAGCACGCGAGCCGCTGGACTCCAGCTTTGCCATGAGCAGAGCTATCCTTTGCTTATGGAGATGGTCAGTTTTGCCCTCTTCCTACTGAACTAGAAATTCACGAGGCATTTTTAGGAAACATAATTAAAAAGGAGATGTTCATCATCCTGGAGTCGAGCAGGACTGGAACTAACAGCCAGAAAACCCTGCCAGCAAATCCTGAACTTCCTAGGTCAGGTCCTTAAACAGTATGTGCTGCCACATCTTGGTAGATCTAAGAAAAATTGCCCTGTAGAGTGACTAGATCTGGAGTTCTGTTCTTGATTTAAGAAGCCGTAATAAATCAAAGGCTTAAAAAACCTAGCAGTTATGTAATATTCTGCAAAAAATTCCTTGCGAGGTAGTAACACATTTTGAGTTTTCTTTTGCAGCACTGATTTCACAGCTGTTATCCAGCATAGTTTCTGCATGGTGTTGTGTGTTTGCATGGATGGGTATAGTGTGCATTCGGTAAATCGGTGCAATATGTGACTGGGAGTTTGGCATGACTGCATCTAAGAATTGGTGAGAGAGTCAAGAATAAAGCCTTAGAATTAACAAAAGCTGTGCTTCTGGGCCAAGAGGCTGGATTCTTGCAAAATATGGACAAAATTTGAAAATAATCAAAAAGTCTCCATTACTGGGCAGATTCAATGCTGTTACAGGAGATCACTGCACTACACAGCACAAGCATGGCAGCTTCGTCCCTAATGTGCATGAACCCAGAGTTTTAAGGCAGGAAAGGCACCAAAAGGAGCCTCTGATTTTTGGAGCCTGTGGCACAGATGCTCAGGTGACTGCGTGATTGCTGAAGGATGGGAAGGGAGCGTCTCCGTCCCCTGCAGAGCCTGTCTCAGAGCTCAGCCACCACGAGGGCCACAGTCAGGCTCACAGCGTGCATCTCTGTGGCTTGTCTGACACCTCTGTTTTCCCCCATAAGACATCAGCAACAGAAGTAGATATTCAGCAGAGAAGAATCACGCAAAGGATGAAAACTCTAAACCTAAAAAAATGAAAATTTTTGAAAATTCTTGTATCAGCAGGCACTTAAGTAGCTGTGAATGCTCGGAAAGGGAAAATAACACTCTGGCTCAGACATAGAAATAAATCTTTGGCTTGACTAAAGAAGCTAATTCAGTGCTTAAAGAAATAGTAAACCTTGTGAGCTTTCTGGAATGATTCCTCTTGAAAACATAAATCACAAAAGTTCTCCTGAAGCTGTTAGGTGCAGATACAAATTCTAACAGGAGGCTGACAAGAACAAAATCTTCATTTCAATTGCAGTCTGAAGCAAAGCATTTTTTCTTCTGTCCTGGAACATGAACTAATATCGGGGCTGCTACCGTTATTTATGTAGCATAAGGAAATAATTATTCTTGGAAAGCAGTTTCTTTCTCTTAAGTGCCAGTTTCTTTCCACCGTAGTATCTCATGATGTACACCACAGAGAAGAGCTGGAAACTCTTGTGCTCTAGCTCTGCCTTTGAACCTGATTTTTCTGCAGGGTCCAAGGGAAACCTCTCTATGCCTTAGTTTCCCTCTCTAGGAAATACTTACTCAGATCTGGAAGTGTGGTATTCATCTACCATATGCCACGCTGGCAGGAGTAATTATAAGAACAAATTCTCAAAAGGACCCTCTCCAGCAAGGAGTTTAAGCTGTACTTCTTAAGGCTTGTGATGTACTGAAATTAATGCAATGTAATTAAAAGGTATTTTTCTAGTTTTGTTTTTAAAAGAGGAAAATTTTAAAGAGTTTTTAAGATCCTGATTGTGATATTTCAGGTATTGGCTACAGTTTTTAAGTAAGCAAAAGATAAGTACATAGCATCAAGAGTCCCTAGAAAATGTCTTTCCAGCTCAACCACGAGCCCTGTGCTAGAGCTATGTCATGTTCACACCACGTACAATTTCTTCGCTGCTAGCTATGGAGACACCTCCATATTTGTTGTCCAAGAAGTTGTGGCCGTGTTCAATACCGGTTTGGTCCTTTCCTAGTCCCTTGCTCACCCTGTATCTGATGATGGCTTGCTACAGTTAGAATAGAATAGAGCAGAATAGAATAGACTAGTTCAGTTGGAAGGGACTTATAACAATCATCTAGTTCAACTGTGATAGATTGAAACTCCTTATATTTGCAGGGAGTATTTCCAAAACCTTCTCCACCCAGGCTACTGCTTGCTTAGAGGTGACCACCAGGCCTACATTTCTAGTATATGCATTAGCCACCCATGCAAACTCTTTGCTAATTTTTAATACAATGGAAGAAGCGGATGTCTCCTAGAAACCTATAGTGAGAAAAAGAATGGGATTTACTAAATAATTAGCTTTTTTAGTAGAGACACTGCTGATTTGGCAAAGCATTACAAACAGAGTCAGATGTTTGAGTCTGCTTTCCATTTTGACACAGACCTAACTCAGACAAAGCCCAGGGACTACAAGTCCTATTGAGTTGGGACTGATTAGTACGACTCGGGTTTTGTGCCCTCACGCGAAGTCTGACACAACTTTTCTCTGTGCAGCACTGCTGTTTGAGCTGATCTCAGGAGCAGCATGGCCGTTTGGCAAGCCCTTTGCCCCGTGCAGCGCACAGGATCCTCATACATAAAAATAGTCTTATTAAGAGAGACATTGGGTTAAATGGGAAACTTATATCCCATTGATGCTAAAGCTTCAGCTACACAATGATCTTTGCCTCATAAATCCTGCCTGGATTTTATACAGGAATTAAGGAAGAGAAAGCACACAATAAGAATATAAAAACAAATATTTCCTTTTTTGGCAGTTTCAGCAGCCTTCTCTCCTAGCCTAGATCTGTTACATTGAAACATAAGAGAATTATTTCCCTTTTTTGGATACCATCAAAAATAATAATGTGGAATTCTCACATTATTTTCTTTAGTCAATGCAGGGCATTCAGCAAAGAAATAAAAGCTCAATCAAAAATCCAGCAACATTACTGTACTATCCTTAGCTTTGCTGAGACCCCTGTCATTTCTCACGTTCACATTATTTGCTTTTTAACTGCAGTGGGAAGAAGAGTAAATGGTACTAAACACAACAAACACAGGTAAGGGCTAAAATATCTGATCAAATATATGCACATAGGAACTCAAATTACTAAACAACACAGCAGTGTAAATAAAACCATTTATATACATGCAAAAAACCAAAAATAACAGCTGATCAAGATCTATTTTTCTTTTTCTATTTAAAATACATGGCTCAGGAAAATTCTGAACACTGCAAGATATTATCAAGACTGTAGGATGCCACAAATTGGTTAAACATCATCTAATATCAGGTATTAATAACGTAATGTCCACATCTGAACTATCTGTCTTTATGTCAATGAGGAGAAAAGGGGAGTTACCCAGAGCTATACCTCAGACCTGGTTTAGAAGTCC